ACTGCTAATTAAGTTTGCATGAAATGATGACCAAATAAAAGAGAAAACTTAAAAGAAACTGCTGTGAAGTCAGAGAGATATATTCCATCAGCACATTCAGGATCTCTCAACTACCTCATGGCAGCTTCAAAGGATAGAAAACCAGCTTCTAGTTAGAAGGAAAATTTTCAGTTTAAAAATATTATTTCCCTTATGAACACTGGGAATGTTGTTCAAAAAGAATAAGAGTATATGTGTTTAGTTCACTAAAAAAAAAAAAACAACAACAAAAACAAGAATGAAGAAACAAAACTTATTTTTAATCTTACTTCAAAAACACAATGATGGACCAGTTATCCTATCACCAACCATGGCCAACAGCAGGTGTCAGGTATAGTTCAAACCTATACTGGTATTTTCCCACTGTCCAGATAGACAGAACTGGTCTCTGTAGGTGACTTAGAATCACTCAGCCTATATATAGTGCGACTGAAAATAGTGACATGCACATGTTTTGTACCAAGAATAATTTAAATATTAGCTAAACAGATAATTCCTAAATGCCAGATAAGACACATTTTCATTTATTCATCTATATTCATTTATTTTGAATAAGTATTTCAGGAATGCAAAACAAACTTACTCGTTCTTTTGAAAATGCTATATTTTTAAAAAGCAGCAGAGTGGATTAAGAGAAAATAATCCCACCACTGACAAAAGCCAGATGGAAGCAAGAATGCAAAATATTTGTGTTAATAGCATTTTGCTGGAAAATCACAAACCTCTCTACAAAAAGTAAGATATTTGGTGCTCACACATGGAGTCTGTGAGCTGCAAAGGTTAGTGAAGAGAGCAGTGCAACATCACAAAAAGCAACAATGAGGATGGCTGTGCAGGATACTGAGCTGCTCCTCCTGAATGTTCTGTACTTTCTCTTCTCTGTGTTTGCTTACAAGCACATCCCATAAAACTGCCTTTATACCTGAACTAGTCTGAAGTTTCCAACATACAAATTACTTTTGGTTTCAATTTGTCTCCTGAATCCATTATTCTACCATTACTGCTGTTATCCTGCAGGTGTAAACCCAGTTTAGAGTATTCCAGTTACTCCCATCCCCATGCTTTGCTCACATCAAAATTTTATCTGCAAGTTAAATACAGCAGATGGTGTTCCTTTTTTCAATCCAGAAGTAGTTCATGATCATTCACAAAATAGCAAACAGGAACACAACAGTCACTGCTGGAGAACTACTAACTACTGAATGCCATTCTTGTTAACAGCTGCTGTACCTCTTTCACATCAGAAGTTTTTTCCTATGCACACCCAGGAGGAGCTAGTTTATTTAGGGTGAGACACAGGCTTTGCCCTTCCCCTGCCTAAGCACCATACACATTTTGGCACTCAGGTCTCAGTTCAGACTTCGAGCAAAATGTTTTGCATTGGAGAAATAATCTTTTCGAGTCTCAGCTGTACTCCCAAAGTCTGAATGGAAACATGGAAAATTCAGGCTTCTCCGTGGATTTTGGCCGGTGCCTAAGATTTCAGGGTATTTTTACTTCTCTTAAAATTAAATCCATAGTCTTAAGACTCTTGACTACACAAGGTCTGTAGACTCCCCTCAAATTTGCTAAAATTGCAAACAATATTGCGTAGAGAGGACTAAAAGGAATTCACCCAAGTTTTAAGGAAGAAGATCTCTTGCTCGAGCAGTTAGTAATTAGTATTTTCAGGTAGTAATTAGCATTTTATTTCCCTTAAAAATGAAGATGGCACATTCTGGAAAGCAGATCCTCCATTTGCCAGGGGACTGACTTAAAAGCAAAGTTAAGCCTTTAAGCAAAGGGCAAATTATTTCCAACATTCTCTTTACTAATGGTAAGGTCTCCTAAGGAACTAAAAAGCATGGCTAGGAAACATTGACAGACACTTAAGAAAGGGAACTAGAAGACTATGCAGTTCATTCAAAACAAAAATGTCACTATTTTGTTTTCAATTAAGTGATCAACCTAAATCTTACTTAACAGCTGGATATGATTCATTAGGCTCCAGCCACTCCTCTTTTCTATGCCAAAGCACCTTCCAGAGTGTGGGGAGGATGGCTTAGCATCTGACTTCATGTAAACTCATTCAATCTGAGCTGACCCCTGAATCCACAGCCAGGAGCTGGCACAGAGAAAGCAGAGAAAGGGATTTTGAAACAATGTCAGTAGATAAAGTGAACCAATGAACAACGTGGAACAGTATGATCTGATGCAGATTCCCTTATATATACCACAAAAGTACTTTTCCTGAAGCTCAAACACAGGGATGTCCTTTAGCACCTCCTACAGTGACTATTTATTGAGCAGCTATCAGTGTCTACATGATGTATATTTAACCATATATCCTATTGCTGTACATAAATTATAACTTCACCACACTCACGTTCTGAGAGCTAATTTATTAAACACCAGTGTGTAACATAAGGTGCTCAACAGTTAGCTCAGTGGAAAAACTGATCAAATTGTTCCTCTGCTGCTTCTCCCTCAGCCTGCTGCCAGGACACAGGGCAGCTGCCAAGGGGTCACACACTCTTGACACTTGTAGAGAAGTTTAACTGGCATCTATCCCACTGGAGTTCTCTGCTTTAGCAACTCCATGCCTTTAACAGTTTGAACAGAAATCAGGACTTCTAAAGCCAACCAAGACAAAAAACCAAAACAAAACCAAACACACTCCCCCACCTCCAAAAGAAAAAACCACAAAAACAAACCCCCAAAAGACCCCAAACCATATGTTCCATTCATCTCTTGCCTTTTCAATATTGTCAAAAGACAAGACTGTAAACAGTTCTATCTTCACACCATCTTTCTTTGCTGTGTCCACTCTCCCCTTTATTTTTTTATGCATTGCTTTCTTTGCTGCTGGAAAACTCAGCGTCCTCTAGCTTTCAAAATCACAGAGACACAAAAAACTAATTGATTCAAGACAAATTTTTTGTCCTGTCCACAAGAAGAGGAGGTCCTTTCTCATCCCTCTGTACCTAACATTAGCATGTCTCTTAGGAATCTGCCATAAAATATTAAATGTGTTTGAAGGAGAAGCTTCATAGATACTAAAAACTATTTTTCAGTCTGAAGTTATGAAGCAAAATTATTATTACATATGAATCCACAAATAAGAAAGAAAATTAAAGCTTTCATGATTTTGTTTCAAGACTATTCCAATTTAGTTTCAGGTGACTGTGTTTTTGACCAAAGGACATCCTGGGTCAAAGGAGGCTCTGTACTGAATGTCTGTGTAATCTAAAGTGTGACAAAGTAAACATAAAATATATTTATTTCCTTTGGACTTCCAAGGCAGCAAATAGCCCAGCTTACAATTGAAGTGTAGATAGTATATTGCAGAGAAAAATATTTTTGTTGACTTCAGTCCATATCAAACACAGGAGTTTGTCACAGAACTTTCATATTTATTCCATTTTATTTTGGCTTATGCTTCAGTTTCTTCCACAAAGTTGCATAAACCTGTAAGAGACAGCATTGAAATGAAAATGAAATGGAACCAAGAAAAACAAGCAAATAATTCCAACTAGATATTTTTTTCTGGGGAAAGAATTTAGAGGAATAGGTATCTCAGGAAGATCCTCTCTCACAGGAATAACAAGTATGGAAAACCAGGTAAATCAGATTACTTTCACCACAATGTCTAAAGAATTTCAATTGGCATAAACTTACCCAGATGTTCTAAAATAGTACAACCCAAGGTGTTTATTCATAAAAACAAGACATTTTAGTCCAACAGAGAGAAAAACGAGATTTAAGTATAATTTGGAACAGGAGGCCGACTTAGTGTTCATGAACACCAAGGTAACCAAGGTAACCCAAATTAATGCTTCCATCCCACACCATGTTTTCCCTCACCTCCATTTAACTAATAAACTGTATCAAACACCTGGTAAACTCCACCACTTTAGTGACTTCTAAAAGTAGGGGTGTATTACAGTGCTCTGGTCTAGATGGACCTCAAGCATGGTTTGAGGTGAACAACATCAGGTTCTTTCTGCAAGAATACATTTCAAGGACATCATGAATTAAGTCCAGAAGTTCACGCAGCTACTTGTGCTGGGATCTTTCATTGAGATCTGGCATTATTTGAAGACAGCAAAGACATTGCAACTTGCTTGCAAAAATATGGTGCTACCCTTATTAGTTCCTTGGAACACCACCTTCCTTCTAAGCCGTGAAATCAGCTGTTTATCCCTATGAACTCTTACTGTGTCAGTGCCCTTCAAGTACACTGTGTGGATCAGGAATACACTGTGCCAATGGAACATGCAGCCTCCAGAAAAAATGTCCTAATAAAAGCTACAAAACATTAGCAACATGAATAAAGGCAACACAAATCTAAACCCAAAGACAATCTTTGCTCCATCAGCTACCAAGTTCTAGTAAACTTTGGGGAAAGGGTATGTAAAAGATATACTGGATGTGCATACCACTTCTTATCCAGTTAGATAAGATACCACTAATTCTATCCAGTTAGAATTAGTGCCTACGGATTAAGAATGTGAAACAGGCAGCCCTACAACTGAACAGCCATGTCTGGGTTAGGCAGGAGAGAATTTGGAGGGTGTCATGACTAAACAACACTTCACACCACCTTTTACTTGCATGTAAGCTAGGAGATATTCTCCTGTTAATTTACACTTGTCAGTTCATTAGGCTTTAAAATACTTTAAAATAAAAAGCTATTCCATCATGACTGACTTATTTCTACCAGCTACAAGCCTTCAGTTCAGTTTGTTTATATTAGTTTTAGCCTGTTTAAAGCAGCAGCATTTACTCAGAATGCTAAAAACATTGTACCTAAAAAGATACCCCACAACTCTGAAATAAACAGTACCTTTGGACTCACTCTTCCTTCCGACATCTTACTTTCAGTAGAGATCATGGTAACAACCACTTGTCAACAAAACAGTTTTCCTTGCTATGAAACTCAATACAACTGTTCAAAAAATTCCACTCTGCAGCTGCTGCAAGAGAAAAGTCCAAACTTTACCAACAGGCATCTGGACTCAGCACTTGGAAATAATTTGGGAAATGAGTTTTACCTCAACTTGAATAGACTTTCTAAACTAGAGTTTTGTTGGCATTGTTTATGTCAGAGGAGATCTGTAAATAGCAAAGGGTACATACCCTTCAGCATCAGCCCATGTGTGTCAGCCAAATGACATAAATGGCACAGCATCAGTGCAAAATGCAGGAAGAAAGCGGAGGGTACATTTCTCATGAGATATAGGTGTGTGAGAAGAAAAAACAAGTAAATCCTGCTAGTTGCAAAATCAGAAAAGGGAAAGTGGATAATGAATTGACCTATTCTATTACATTACTTGGGCCAAGGCACCCACCAGCTCTGAAGTATCACTCCCTCTGATCTATCTATGAACCCTTGAGGCTCTCTGAGTCCTCTCCCATTAAGATAAACACTTCTCATAAAGAATATTTTTAAATTAATTAATGACACTGCAAAAAAGGAAGAGTCTATGTTTGCTCACTGAATTGCTTCTCAAGAAGTAGTGCAGGCTAATCCTAATGAACTAATGCAAAAAAGTACCATTGTCTCCATCAGTTTCAAGTTTTAGCAATGAGATGTTTTACAAAGACACTAAAAGCTGCACCAAGTCTCTTTGGCCTGCTTCTGCCCAGGCACTGGGAATGCAATCCAGTGGTGGGCTCTGTTCTTGCTGTTTCAACAGGAATAGGATGGGATTTTTAAAATTGGGATGATTATCAATAGTAGGGAATTAACACAAGTCACATGAAAAGAGAACAGTAAAGCTTACAACCTCCTGCTTTGTGGTTGGAAACACTAAGAGAACACTGTTTGCACACCATAATGCATCGTTAAAACTCATTTATATCAGAGGAAAGGCTGTGAACATCTGCTACAGTACAGGCACTAAGTCTCTAAAAGACTCAGAGTCTCTCCTTTTATTCCAGAACCTTTTTGTTACTATTGCAGTACATGCCTTCCACAGCTGAACAAAGCTTGTCTCCCTTTGCTAGTGGTAAGAAAAAAAAATATCTTCACATACCTTATGGAACAGGACACACTGGAGATTCAGCAGCTGCTTGAGGTAAATAAGATCAAGGCTCATTTTATTCCCACTCCTCTCAAACTGTATCCTTGCTTGCTAACAGCCACTCTTTAAAAACCAAGAACTCTGTAATATTAAATATTCTTGTAACCTTCAAAAGAAAAGAGTACATTCAAAATTAGCTATTTTAAATGAAACCGAAAGTATACTACTTAGTGTTTCACAGTTTATCACAGACCAAAGCATACAAAGAAATGAAATTATTTTAAAGGCCAACTTCAGAATCACTATCAAGATTCAAATTGCCATTTATAAGGTTTACCTCTCCTCATTCCCACCATATGCTTAGTCCCTCAATTTAGAAAAGCCTCAAACCAGAACTTCTTTGAAAAAATGATTAAAATATTTACATTTATTTTAAAACAAAAATATTGGCTAAAGTACTTTTATTATGATGCCTTGCACCAGAATGTGTTGATCCATTATGATCTCAGTAAGAAAGAATTATCATTTAAAATGCTATTTTGAAGGTCTAACACTCTAAAGAGAGCATAGTATAGATAATTTCAGATCCCTTCAGATGGTAGGAACCCCTGGGGGTGTAGCAGCAAACTGGCCTCTGGTCCATGCCGGGCAAACCCCCTCCATGGAAGAGATTCTCCCCTTCCGGTCATGAAGATTCTACCACAGGAGAGGCAAACACTCTGGCACTCTGTTGGTCATTCCCACTATCAAACAAGGCATGTTCAGGAAAGAACCCCCTGCTGCATTCCCTAATGCCAGGCAGGTAGCTTAACTCCTGGAATTAGGTGGGAGCTGCCTGCAGGCTGCTCTGTTGCAATGAGCTGGCTGAGTTCACCCTGTGGCCAAGGGGTTTGTGCACCACAACACAAGCCCAAAGGTTGAGCTGCACCCCAGCTCAAGTTAAGTGCACCCTGGATCACTAACTCCTTGATGTGCAATGGCCTTCCAGTCAGGATCACTGCTACAGGTGGTAATACTTACTGAGATGAGCATGTACAGTTTCATTCTCGTTGTATTTTTTCCTTTTGGTGACCCATTGATGCTTTCATAGTGTCATACACAAGATGCCATCACCTGTTGACCAGTCCTAAGGAAACAGAGTGTGTCACACAACGGAGTCCCTCCAGGTGACTGCCTTCCCTTTGCAGTGGATTCAGAAGGAGAACATGAGTGTGCTGTTTATGGCAAGGCTGGGTTGGAGCTGAGAGCTCTAAGGGGCACCACAACTCGACTTTCCTGGGATTATGGATTTCCAACACGGAGTTAATGTTGCAGTCGTTCCTCCAGCACCCTCTAGTGCTGCCGGGAGCAGTGACTCGTTACTATAACAGGAACATGATCCCACTATAAACCAGCCCTCCCCTCTCGGCAGAGCTGCTTTCCCAACTTGAAAACTACTGATGTGCCCCACTGCAGGAGCTTCCCACAACAGCACGTGTCCCTGCCACATACTCAGTTGTCATCTCTGTCATGTTAATTTTTCTTTCACTAAATCGGATGCTAATTTTTGTGTACCACAGAAAGAAAAACAATGTAATTTCCCTTAAAATAAATATATTCCTCAAACTGAAATCAACATGAATTCACTGCCTCTGCTTTAAGCAAGTTTACAAGCAAATCAGTCATCAACTCTTGAGTCGGTCACATCACCTCCTAAATGATGGAGTTATTAAAACAAGCAGCCTTTCTTATTGCAAATTTCCTTACAGAAGACCTCAAGGCATGAATTTCAGGAACCTCTCTGCAGTCCACAAGCTAGTTGAGAAAGACACAAAATGGAAGACCTGTCACTATCAGCAATTTTTTCTATTATTTTGATTTATGATGACAAAAAGCCATTCAAGACCAACAGTGGAGTTTGCAAACACAAGAGATTTTGAAATGTACCAGATACGTTGCCCTCATGCTGAAATGTTACCCAACTGGATCAAAGCCTTGTGCAGGGGACAGCAAGGGAGTTACCCAAGCTCTCTCTGAGCAGTCTTCAGACAATGATACGTACCTGGATATTCTATTAAGGAGCAAGGTTGAGAACAAATAAGGTACAAGGAAGTAAGAAATCAGCTGCAAACAAAGCCGAATGTAAAATGTAATTAGCATTTCAAATCAGATATTTGTCCTATACTGTGCTACTGACTTTATGAATTGCAGTGGTACAGCAGTGTATCACACCCCACCTTGGGGACCGTCATTCTGCTCCCTTGAAGTCAGCACTCTGTTTTTTTCTCTTGACCACTCTTAGACTGTGTGATTTACATGGAACTTCACAAATGTCTGAGCATCTTAAAAAATTAAAAGGCTAAACGCAGTACATAAACCTTTCTAGTAACACTTGTTTAGAAACACTTGTTAAGAAAGAACTTGCCTCTTTCCCTGGAAGGATTTCCTTCTAAATTGATAAGATATTCAAAAGTAATTATATTTTAATCTACAATATTAAAATAAATGTTGCAGAACTACAACTGCATTTTCTCCAACTAGTTTACCTAGAATTATTTACATAGTCACACAGTGAATTCAAAATGCAGAGAAATCATTGGTCAGTACATGAAATATTTGCTTGATTATTTGCAATGCATAAAAAAGGTTGTGAAACTTACTTGTAGTAATTCTTTCAGAAGTCATTGTATTCCTATTGATTAGTTCCTCCATCACTGGAATGCACTGAATCAAGACATGACAAAACACTACTTTGGGAAATACAAAAGCAAATTTCTTTGAACAGACAGACCTATCAACTGTATATACTGAAAGTGTAAATTTAAACTAATAAATCAGAAAATCATACAAAGCCACCACTTCAAACAAATGAAAACAAACAACAAGTTAGATTAGTTTTGCTCCTTATTCACTTGAATACTGTTCTAGGTTGGTGAGAACTCCCAAAATCACAAACACCGAGACACGATGGGTATAAGCAAAGTAATTTTATTCCACTACTCGTGATAGCAATCAGTACACACTGCCCCCTGGATTCCTGAAAAGCCGCTGAGCAGAAGGAGATGGAGCATGGTACTCGGCAGGACGAGCAGGCAGACAGTGCATGTTTCAGGGTGTCCCCCAAATAAAAGCAGTGTGCATCTCATTCTGCTCACTCATCCAACCCAGAACCACCTCTTATACCCCTCACAGTAGTGCCATTTTCCAATTGTAACATCGGCTCACGCGTGGCCAGTGTGTGAACCGAGACCCCAATGGCTTGTGATACCAACTCCGTGCCAACAACGGCTCTGTTGTTTCTCTTCCAAAAGTCAAGCTCCCACCAGTTAATCTAATAATTTGTTCCCCTTTCCAGGGTTCAGTTCCTGTCCTAATCTATTGCTTTTCCTTCCAAGGTTTGCTCCCAACAGTGAAACTACAATATTTTCCCATGCCACATCCACGACCACAACCACGGACCAGCTATGGTAAGGCCTCAGACACAACTCAGGTCCCTGACACAAATACCCCAAACCAGATACTTTCAGTATTTCCTACTACTTCAACCTCCAAAACTGCTACAGGTAAGTTTTGGTTTTTTATACATTTTTGCACCAAACCACAGTTTCCTCGCTTTAAAATACAGGTTATGACACTGAACTAAAAGGCTGAGTACATTATAAAAACAAGAACAAGACTTCTTTTTTTTTTTAAATACACACAGAGGACTTCTAATAAATTTATGGCAATCATTTTAACCTCGAATACAAAAGTCTTTTAAACTCTTTTTGAATGAAATTCTGGGAAAGTACTATCAGTTATTTCATGAAGAGAGACCTGAAAATAAGCTCTGCACATAAACTTACATTCAGTAAATGTGAGATGAGATCTTCAAGATCAGATTTCTTTATTCACATGATAGTAAAGACATTCAAATAAATGAAAAATAAAAAAAAAAGGAGAGAAAGGATTAGAACAGGAATGTATATCATAAGGTAGGAGCATAGATAGATAAAAAAACCCATATGCTGCCAGTACCAGTTACCAGTGCAGAGCACTGTTCCCCCACAACACAGGCACTACCTTTAGCACCAGATTTCTCTGCTTCCAGTAACACAATTAATTCATATTTTCCTTCCCATGCTCAAGCACTAAAACCCAGTAGTGCAGCTACAATTAATGTGATTTCAGTACCAAAAGACCACTTGGTAGTTATTATACACAGGGCTTTTTCAACTGTAGATGCACTGTGTAATTGTTCTATGTAATGCTGCCCAAAAGTTATTAGAAATGCTATTCTAGATATGAAACATTACAGTCAATTAGATTGTGTCACTATACCAGACCTGATATTTACTTTCCTGGTCTGAGGGTATTCTTGAGGTCTACATGGTTCATCAGCTTCTAAACTTATTGCAGACCTCTTAAAATGATAAAACTAAATGTGCATTACGCCAGTATAACAAAAACATATGCATTCAAATGCACAAGGTATTTATCTTTCTCCTTCATCCAGGATAAAGTTCAACACACCAAGTTGCTGTGTTTTAACTAGACTTGACTACATTTAGTGTAGACCTGGACTAAAGAGATAAGAAGCCCTTTCCCATTCACATAATAACATGGATTAAAGGCACTATCTTTTCCTAGAGTCCTTGCTTTTTCCTTCATGACTGAACTCAGGTTTTACTTGGTGTCTGTGGCTCTAAACTTGAACTGTCCCATACAGAGAGAGCACTAGGGTGCATTTGCCTTTGGGTTCTAAAATATTCACCAGAATGAGAGAACAACACAGCTGTTACACTCAACAGCAGTGATGAGGCAGAAATTGTAAATTCTGCTCTCAGCTCCAAAAAGTGAGCACTGTTAAACTGAAAAAAACACCTGAGATTAGCAGCCAAGTTTCTGGGTGCATTGTGCTCTCTCACACCCTATAACCACAATATTCCAATGCTTGTGCTACTCTCCCTGCAGGATCCTCACTTAACCTCCCAATCAGAATTCAGTCAGCAGTGAAAAAAGGGACATAACTTGGTTCACAGCAGGATAATCGCAACTAACCCCCTGGAACGCACCTGTCCCTGTTATTGTGAAGCGGAACTGTTCAAAAATCAATTACAAGCATTCCAGAGAGAGTTTCAACAGCGTAAACAGCAGTCAAAAATACACAGCTGTGCAAGAACTGCAATTACTACTCCAAAGCAGCAGTGAAGGGCCCAGACAGCACAAATCATGGTTTATTCCAGACACCCACATCGCTTCTGACGGCGGTTTTTCTCCAGATACAGGAACACGATGTGCTCAGTACCTCAAACACCGCACAGCTCGTCCAAGTCGGTGAACAAGCCGGGTTTTAACAAAGCTCACCTGTCAGTTTCCTCTGCTTAAACAAGGCAGTCAACGCGTTTTTCCTCTCAGCCCCGCGCAATTCCAGACCCAAGCACAGGACTTTCCGTCGCAGGCGCCTGGGGCCAGCCGGGACCGGGGAGCTGCGGTGGGTGACGGCGGCACCGCCCTCCCGGGCCGGCCCGTGCCTGCCCACCTGTCCCTCCGCCTGGGAATGGCCAGGGAGAGCGGCCGGGGGAAGTTTCTCTCCTGGAAGGAGGTTGTAGCCAGGTGGGGGGTCGGGCTCTTCTCCCAGGCGACCAGTGACAGGACGAGAGCACACACAGCGTCAGGCTGCGCCGGGGAGGTTCAGGTTGGACATCAGGAAGAATTTATTCGCAGAAAGAGTGACTGGGCATTGGGACGGGCTGCCCGGGGAGGTCACTGTCCCTGGAGGTGTTGAAGGAAAGGGTACTCGGCACTCGAACTCGAACGCTCGAGTCCCGTCTGCGCTCCCCGGATCCCTCCCGCGCTCCCGTGAGGCGGCGCGAGGGGGCGCGCGCGCGCGGCCCGCCCTGGGCGCGAGGCGAACGGGGAGCCAATAGAGAGAAGCGTCGCGCGGCCGCGGGTGCCGGCGGGACAAGATGGTGTCGGCGCGCGCGCTCCGCGTGGTGCGCTGCGGGGGCGGCGCCCTGAGCGGCGCCAGGGCCGTGTTCTCCGCCGACTCCAAGTACGTGGGGCACGGGGGGGACGGGGGCTCCACACCCGGGGAGGGGGGGGGGCTCCCGAGCTCCGTGCCGAGCTCTGCCCGCCGGTGTCCCCGCGGCCTGCGGCCCCCGCGGGGCAGCCAGGCCCCTGTCCCCGCGGTAACGCCGTTTGCCCGCGCAGGTACCTGCTCTGCGCCTCCGGGGACTTCGTGAAGGTGTACAGCGTGACCACCGAGGAGACCCTGCGGCTCATGGGCGGCCACGCCGACCTGGTCACGGGCATCCAGCTCAACCCACACAACCACATGCAGGTTTGCGAGGGGAAGGTCTGGGTGGGGATGGGGATGGAGATGGAGGTGTCCCTGGCCCTCCTGTGCCTCCTCGGGGGCTGTCCCGGGACTGGCTGGAGGTTGGGAACGAGCTGGGAGCGATTAGAGCATCGCTGAGCTAATGTTGCCCTGAAATCTGACAAGAACGGTAAATGTCTGTGTTATCTACAAGTAAAAACGTGAAACGTCACGTGGATTGCACTGGTTGAATGCAATGACAGCAAAAGGGAAACGTCAGCAAAATTTCCGGTTCTTTGATGATTGAGGGGTAAAAAAAGCTTGTGAGAAGATCAACAACACTTACTGTGGTTGGTGTTTGCCCCTCTCTATCTGCTGGTACAGATGCAGATTTGACTAAATCCCTTTAACTTGCTTAGTGGCTCTCACTGTCCCCAGCCTGCCTTCCCTGCTCGTGCTCTGGCTCTCAGTTTACTTGAGCTTTTTTGGTGTCTGTACGTGATCCAAATGTTAATAGATGTTCATATAATGGGTGTCTGTGTACTCACACTTTGTGGAAATGTACATTTTAAACTAGAATGTTGTGCTTCCATTGCACATTCATTGAAGGTAGCACAGAACTGGTCTGTGTCCTGTGTTTTGGATGATCCAGTTACCTGGAATCACAGTTCCAATGATCAGTCTTCCAGTTTTTAAGTTGTGATTTTATGTAAAAGCTGACTTTGAAATATGCTTTGGCTTATGTATTTATTATTTTTTTTCCTCAGCTTTATTCTTCCTCTCTTGATGGCAGCATTAAGCTTTGGGACTTCATGGATGGGATTCCCATTAAAGTATGTTGAGTTATTCCCGTCAAAATTATTCTTGACCCACTGATTGTAGACTGCTGCTATTACTACAAATGGGCACAAATCAGTCTGAGATTAAAGTTGTTCTGCCATTAACACAGCCTGAAAACCACCTATGGCAGTAATAGAATGTGGCAGTTGATGTGTGATGATGATGATGCAGATTCTTTTGTGGGATGTACTGACATACTGACTTTGCTCCTTGCTGCAGTTTGGAGCCCAGCGTAGCTCTTGGGGAACATGCTGCAGTTTGGGATATGCTGAGTGGAATTGATATAATGGGTTGAAATTGTGGGCTGCTAACTGTCCTCTTGATCCCATTTTCTGCTAAATAGAGGCACTTCCCTATAGGTGGGCCTTCTGCTTTGTATTAGGGGTAAGGTGTCTTAAGGTTTTTCAGTAAATCTGATGTCTCATATTTTACTAGTACTGTTATAACATCTGTGTTAGTCCTTGGGAGAATAAAGGTGTTTGTATTTGTCTCAGAATCAAGAATTTTAGTCAATACATGAAGGGGTCTTTAAAGCACAGACGCTTTCCTTATTCTAAAACCTTAGCATTATTCACTGTTTAAAAGCATACAATAATTGTTGACCTCCTCTTTTTTTTTTCTTCAGACTTTCACTGTAGGATGCAAACTTCTGGCACTGTACACACTTGCCAGCGCTGAGGACTCGGTGTTTGTTGTAATTCCAAAGAAGGGTGAACGAGGTACAGTACAATTAGCACCATCCCTGTCACCTCAGTCATTCTCTGTCTGTGCTGCTGTCACATCAGTGAATGGTATGCTGCAGGAATGTGCTTTAATATGCTAATGGTGAAAATATTTCTTAAATCCTGTGGCAGATGTCTGTAGTCCTGCATGTCATAATTTTTTTCTGTTTTCATTCTATGACATGTATTTGTCTAAAGAGTGCTTATCTTCACTTGTGAAGCATATACTGCATGGATGTGATCTCGTAGATGCAGTAAATCTTAAGCAGTGCTCACGAAGGTACAGGGTATAGTACTTAAGTTGAACACGAGTACTTGAGATTACCCTTCCACTTTTAGCAGTGTTAACATAAATAGACTTGTCCTATTTAACAGCATGCCTAGATATTTTTTAATAGGATTTTGTGTGAAATAAATATGGTTTAGCCTTACTCTGCACCATAATATACTGCTGCTTCAGAGCAAGAGCAAATATTGTGCAAGTTTGCTTGGTTTCTGCTTACAGTTGCACTGATACCCACCGTCTAGTCCTCCTTCTTCAGTACTACTGTTTGAAACAAAGAGACTTTTTTCCTTTGGTCAGATACATTCCAGCTGGTCTCTGTGAAGCTGACAAAAGGAGCAGGCCAAGACCTGGAAGCCAAGGAGCTGTCAGTGGTTCTGGATGGTGTGGGGGCATCAGCGAAGCAGATTGCGTTTGGAAGAGAAGTATATTCGCCTTTGAGGCTTTTTCTTCTGTGGGGTGTTGGTTGGTTGGGGTTTTTTTTGTCTCAAACTCTATGCTGTTTATGCCTTCATACAAGCACAAAACCAAAAGTAAATGAATCTGTGCAAGGCCTATGCTTTATTTTATACTACTACTATTTTATATACTAATAGAAAAAAGAAGCATCAACATTTATCACAGGAAAGTCTTTACTTAATGTCAGCTCATATGTTGTCTCCGGTGTTAAGTACTTTGTAGTGAAATGTGGTTCTTTTTTTTTTTTTCTCTTTCATATGTAAAAACATAATCTGTATATCCCACATTGTTTTACTCTTAACAGGGTGAATATGTGGCATCGGTGAAAGAGGTTAATCTCCAAGTTTACTTCTTTAAACGGAAACTGTTGAACAGGTAAGAATGAGAATAAAAATGTCAAGTATTGATTCAGTCCAATATATAATAAGTGTTTATTCACCAGTGATATGTGCACACATGATTTCGTGTTTGTCAACAGCCATTTGGTTTTATGCTGGAGGGAATGTGGTCACTGTGTAAGAAGCTTCCCACAGAAGCAGACAGTGAGCACTGCAGTGGCAATGGTACCTTACCTTTGCAGCTCAGGGATGTATTTTTTTCAGGAAAATACTTAGGCTGATGCTGAACTGAAACAAGTTTGGGCAGGATCAGGGCATGGGAAGGAAAGGGGAGTAGAGGAGAGAAAGGAGCAAAAAAATTTTCAGCTTGATTGAAGGCAAAGAATAACGAAATAAAGAGAAAAATAAGCCTGTCACTATTTTGTTGAGAGTATATATAACTAACGTATAACTAACCATAACAACTTGGAGATGTTTAATTTTGCTAATCAGAAGTATTTTTTATGTGCTCTGACTGATCCTTTTGAAGGTTTTCAAAAAAAACCAACCCAACTCATATAATTAAAGGGACTTCCTTAACTCTTGAAGGTTTTCTTTGCGTGCAGTGAAGACAAAAGGTGGAGACAATCAGTTCAGCTGCGTAGCGTGCCACCCAACAGAGGATTGCATTGCAACTGGCCATGCTGATGGAAAGATTCGCCTCTGGTATGTGCATTTTGATTCAACTGTACCCCATAAACTGCTCTGACCAAAGGAATTCAGTGAAACCTGAGCAAAGCAGTCTGATTTGTCCTTAGTGATGCCATTTTCAGAAGTCATAATGAACAAAGAATGAGCAATGTACCTGCAGTGTCGACATTGCAGGGGACAGCTTCAGTGTATTGTCAAATGGAAAAATATGCTTGTTAAGCTGTGCTCCACGAATCTAAACTTATGTGGAAAAAGTAATGCGGGAACAGCAGAAATAACACTTGATGGGCAAGTAGAGTCCTAGGGAGAGCACACCAGTGGAACTACTTGATTAAAACCAACACACTGGCCAAGTTGCTTCCATGGGTGAGTTGCTCAGTACATCTGAAATGTGAGGTATAGATGACCAGGAGGGTGCTGAAAACCTGCTAGTGTGGTTCTTTCCCTCTGCATCACCTGAGCACTCAAGAAACTGTAGTCTAGAAGTTAGATGAGAGAATGATATACTTTATTCAATTCAATATTTCTTTTCCTTTGTTCTGTTTTTGATTCTGTGAGTAAAAAACTGTTCTGTTCCTCCCCACATAGGAGGAATTTCCACCACAAGAAAGAATACACATATTCCGCACTGCACTGGCATCATGATATTGTCATGGATCTGGCTTTTTCTATGGAGGGTGAGTAAAAGAAAAGTAAAAATCAAGACAAAACAAAACAACCAAAAAAAACCCACCAAAAGCAAACCTCCATCAAAAAAAAACAAAAAACCCCTTTCAAAGTCAAAGAGTTGCAGCAGGGAGGAAAGAATCAACACAAGTTCGAATTTGCCCACTTATAACAAATTAATTTTTAGAATTTTAAATATGTCCAGGAAGGATCTAAAATAAAAATGGAAGCAGTTTTTACTTTTTTTGATGTAATTTTGGTTGGCATTCATAACGTCAAATATCTACCTCCGTGGTAAAATTTAGAATCTAACCCCTCTTCTCACCTCTTCTCCCCCACCTCCACTCTCCTTCCCTCTCCCTTTCATCAACAATACTGATAAGTTCTTGTCAGTCTTATTTGCATCCAAATAAAACAAGCTGGCCTGGTCTGAACTCAAACCTAGTGTCAGAAATACTTCACTTTTATCTGAATTGTGTGATCTGAACTATTCTCAAGGTATTTCTTAGTGCAAAGTACTTTTCAATGAAGGAGAACAATTCATCTGTATTCTAACACAAATACTCAGCTGATTCAGGAAGTAATGGGATCTACCACTCCCAAAGCATTGTTTGAGTTTTACTGTAGGCACAAATTCTTCTTGCTTAATCCAAGTTTCTCTAGCAGTTTAACATGGGATAATAAGAAAGATATCTGTGTGTGTGGCCCAGGCTCGTGACAGTTTAAAAAGTTTTGAGACACTGATGTTCGTCTGTCGTTGTAAAGATATACACTACTGAATTTTTGGTTTTAAGCAAAACCAGTAACTGCATTTTTATTGCTGGGAAAGGAACCAGGTTGCTGAGTGGTGGAGTTGAATCAGTTCTGGTCCAGTGGCACAATGAATCATCGTGTCAGAAGGATTTCCTGCCTCGTTTGGGGTCTCCCATTGAGTACATCTCCATGTCATCTGACGGCGCGCTCTGCTGCACCTTGCACACAGACAACAGTAAGCCAAAGCAAACTGGAGTATCACTTAATGCAAAATGGAATGCAAATCTGTACGAGCTTTATTTTGTTGATTTCAGATTAGTTAAACAGATACTGCATAAAATGTCAGTGCTGATCTGAAAGGACAGATGCTTGAAGTGATTTTTTTTCTCCTGCCTCAGTTCTGTGGATTTTCCTGGTGACTGCTGTAACTTGGCCTTCCACCCTGATGTAGGGGTGTCATAAATTGGGAAAAGATACATTTGCAGTACAGTTGGTTGTGGTCCCTTTCCCACCCTGAGATGTGGTTACATTGCAAAAGCCTTTTGCAAGACTTGGTTTGGTTTCTCTTTCAGGAATTACAATAATCAACAGCAACCTAAGGTTTTCCAGAAGTATTCAAGGGCTAATCAAAAGTAAGTTCAATAAAATTTACCTTCCCTTTAGAGGATGGAATGTGTCACTTACCATCTTTGGTCATTTGTCACCTGATCTTTGTTTCCAGGTAGGGATGTCAAGACTGGCCTAGTGGTTGATCCTAGAACCAAAGCTCTGGTCATGAATGGAGAGCCTGGCCACTTGCAGTTCTATTGCCTCCAAAGTGACCAACAGCTGTTCAGTGTAAGTTGAATGAGCTTGTACCAAAACTTTTAAGTTCTTTAGTCAAATAACTTGTGCATCAGAATTTATTTGAAGACTTAATGTGGCAGAAAGGAAAAAAACCCACCAGCTATATGGCAAGGCTGGATTCCAGGCTGAGATGTTCTTGCCTTTATTGCAAACTTTTTACTTGTTAAGCATAGCTAAATGTTGATAGTTGAAAAAATACTTCAAAACAGTGTGTGCTACTCCTGTTGAATGTCCAATTTCTAGGTAAAATCCCTCTAAATTATTTTTTCTTCTTCTTTGCTACACAAAGGATCGCTGTGGAATGCACATGCCCTAATGATGCTTTCCCCACATGTTGGTTGTGTTGTTTTTTTTTTTTTTTTATGTCACAGCCCAGTCAGGTCTAATTAGTGCTTTCAGAACATCCTTTCTCCATGGCTTTATGGATGGTATCTATCTCTTACAGCTGCACTTGAATTTTGAAGTTTAATGTTGGCCTTGTTTTGCAGTTGGACATTGTGCAGCGCCAGTACATCCACGAGGCAGGTCTGAAGCAGTCTGACCTGGTGAAGGTCGCATTCAGCGCCCAGGGAACCTGGTTGGCCACAGTAGAAGAGAGAGAAGAAGTGACAGACCCCGAGTTAGAGCTGAAGCTGTGGTTCTATGAGGAAGAAACACAAAGGTAACAATAATAGAGCTGGCTTTTTAGGTGTCAGTCACACAAATACCTGCACAGACGGGGTCTTGCAAAGGCAGACTTCTTCCAGATCGACTAATAAAATTCTGGGGCAGACTGTCAGAAGTTTACCGTGCACACTAGAAGCATCTGCAACAGCACACAGAGTTGCAGTAACTGCAGATTGGACATAATTGCTCTGAATCTATTTTACTTAGAGTAATCAGACAGGCCGTTGTAACCATGGGACTTAAATTCACATATTTCCTTGGTATTAAAAATCATAGACATGACAGAATAGTTCTATACCTTGTTCAGTTTTCCCACTTCTGTCTAATCCATCATTCATTGGTTAGCCCTTCTAGAGTACAGAAGATCAGGAATTTATTGTTGATTTTTTTCTTTAGCTAACATATGCATCTGCTTAATACACTTACACTCATTTTCTTATTTAAACAACTATATTTTGACTATAAATTGTTATTTTCCTAAAGAAGAAACAAAGCAAAAGAAAGCTACTACACAGATCAACTATGGGACTGGTTTTCTAACTACTGGAAAGACTGCCCAGAGTTCAGGCTGAATATTTGAGACATGCTTGCCTAGTGATAGGTGCTGAGCTACAGTCTCTCTTGCCATATGGAAGTGATTAGAGAAATCTGATCTGTAAATGTGATACCATCTGGCTGTCTTAGTTAGACAGAACTTTTATCCCTCGTGTGCCTGCCCATTCCAGAATCAACTTAAAACTGAAGTGTTCCCCAAGTTCCAAATGAAGTAGAATGACAAGCTTCTGTTTTCTTTTCCTACAGCTTTAAGCTGAATACTAGGATAAATACACCCCATGACAACCACATCACAGACATGTGCTTCCGTGACATGGGTGAACTGGAAGATGACTCTCTGATACTGGTAACAACTGGCAGAGACTGTGTGTTTAAAGTCTGGGTGATGGTAGAAGACACTGATCCAGAAGGCAAGTATGGTCAAAACATAACATACTCTTACTTGCCACCTTGTAACGTAGAATCCTGAGAACATCCTGAGTTGGAAGGGGCCTACAAGGATCACTGAAGTCATGCTATAGAAATTCTGACCCTACCTTCATCTGCTCCATCCTGTGCATTGATCTGGTTCTGCTGCTGCATCAAGTATTGTGTTCTCATGAGCAGCCTGTGATGGAGTTCTGTCACAGTTTAGCAGTCTTATAGATTGATATGGAGGTTCCTGAAGTAGCAAAGACCTTGCTGAGCCTGCTGCAGAAGGGAATGGCAGCCTGTGTTGATTGATTAAAGGATTGTTTGTGGTAACAATTTTTCCATGCTGGGAAAATGGATTTTTGTCATTCTTCTGGATAGACTTCTTTTTGAGACTTCTGCTCGAGGGAGCAGGATGCAGGAATGTGTTAAAATAATAGCACTTTGCCATTCTGCAGCTCTACCACTTCAGAGTTCATTTTTTGAACATCCTTCCTTCCCATCAGATAGTTGAACATCTTAGAATGGGTATTTAGCATCCATTCCAAGGTACTTTAAATAAGCAAATTTCACCTCTTGATGGTGATGTTCACTTGTTGCAAACAGAACATCTCCGGATGTGTATTGCCCTGTAAGCCTTTGAATGTAAAATACAAAAGATTTCCACTTAGTAATTTCCTTTTACTTGAATGTTATTTTGGTGCCAGCCACACTTAAATGAGCTGGAACTTCCCTGCCACTTGGGTGTCTTGTCTTTTCACGTTCCCAGAGAGCTGTAATAGTGGTCATGCTGAACTGCTTATGGTTTAGTAACCTGTTTGTCTTTTCATGGGCAGGTGAGAACATGTTCACAAGTACTTTTGAATCACTGAGGTTTCCATTTGGAAACCTTTCTTTGCCAAATTGACTTTCTCTCTCCAAGCTCTTTGCTCAACTGTGGCTGCTGATGAGAAGAAGGACAAAAGCTTGTGTTCATTTAATAGCAACTCCCTCAATGATATCTGAAAGTGTTTGGGTTTGCTTTTTTTTCTGTAAATTATTCTGATCCTAAATTATATTCAACTTAACAAGCAGCTACTTTGATCTTCGAGTATGGTGTGGGTTGGAGATGAAACCTAATGGGGTTTGTTTCCTTCCACAAAGTAGTTTTTTATCTACTGACTGGCCTCATCGGGGGTTTTTTGTGTGTTTGTTTTTTAATGACTACAGAGTTCTGTTCCATGGCATATGTAAAAACACAAATCAGTGCTGACTTCTGTGGTGTATTTGCCCAGCGGGGACAAGGTAGGAATGCTCAGGGAGAAAGGCTCAACATGCTGCAGCTTCTGTGCAGCAAGTACTGGTAAACTAATGAGCTCATACATTGAGTACATGCTGGGATGTTTTTAATTGCAGTAGATCTCTCACTGTGCCTCTAGATGGTGCCATGCAGTTTGAAGTAGTGAATAGTTTCTGGCTCTTTTTTTACAGGCAGGTCTTTAATCATCAACTTGTAGCCATTATATAAAGGTTAGCTTAGCATAGGGTGAACTTCTTGTCCTTTCTTTCCTCATCCTACTCATATGTTTCAAAAGCATGCTGTGTGAATTATTTTATACTGGGAAATGTATGTTAATGTGGTAAGTACATCACTTTGCTTCAGTTTGTTTTATGGCAGTTTTCAGCAGTGGGAAAGGTATCCCAGAGGAATGCACTGGCATGTTAACCAACACAAGGAAGCATGCTGATGGGTCACCTGGTGGTCCTCAAATCTTCTGTAATGAACCATGAGCTTTGTTGTACTCAAATACAACCTATGTTCAAATTTCAAGTTCATGTTCTTGCCAGAGTTTTAAAAGAACAGTATGTTTGAGAACAATAAATGCTGAATCTCCTTGAGTACCTTTTTTATCTAACATCTGCCTATTCAAGAGCATAGTTAACAGAGTTGGCAGAGTAAGCATGGATATTGTACCATGTCAGGCTCGGGTTCACTGCTCAAATGCAAAACTGAGGGCAAAGGAAAACCCTACCAGATGTTTCTTGTAATAGAACAGGACAGATTCTCTGCTCTTCCAAAACATAAACCTTCTGAAACAAAACTGCCTTGCTCTTGAGCCTATTTTGCAACAGTAATACTTGAATTCCTTCTTCGTGTACAGGCTTGAATTAACTGGCTTGTTCATTCAATGCAGCACAGCAAAGTGTGAGCTGGAGCTGTGACTTTGTAGGCAGCTACCACAACTACCAAGCTACTAACTGCTGCTTCTCAGAAGATGGTTCTCTGCTTGCTGTTAGCTTTGAAGAAACTGTCACTGTTTGGGATTCTGTCACTTGGGATCTTAAGTGTATGTTCTGCCATCCACCTGGAAACATAAGGTATGTTTTTCATCTGCTCTTTTATGTCTTGCTTGAACTCTCAGAACAGAAAGAATCAATTCATAGTAGTCCAAGACTTTATATATATATCCATAAAAACGTTGAATTTAACAGTCTTAAGTTCATATATAGAAAAGACTCTAAAATGGCTTTTAGGTGGTTGGTAACTTCCTGTTAAAAATAAGATCAAGCTTTTCAGTTTCTTCATCTTACTTGCTTATGCCTCCTGTACCTCCCATGCTTAAATATGTGTCACACAGTATGTGTTGATAGCCCTTCTCTTTTCCCCCATTAGTCTAGGGATGAATCAAAGTACTGAAAAAGTATAAATACAAGAAGAGGTTTGTTCTTTATTTGTGTACGCACACATACAAATAGAAATTATATCAGTAAATCATGATATCATCTCTATTATGAAATATATATCTTGATCCTCTCTAACCTCTGTTGGGAAATCCATGTTTGCCTGGCAGACTATCCCAGCATGCTCCACTGTGTGCCCTCATGATAAAACACACCAATATTGCGTGGTCACGATGTTTTAAAGACTGACACAAAGAGTCATAGAAGGATACAGAGATTTCTCACTTCCGTGGTTTTGTGTGTATGTTTGTAAGCTTTTCTTTTGTGCTGTGAAGTCTGTTTTGTTGATACTTGTGCTCTGAGATAAGAAAGGGAGAAACATGATTCCAGAAGTGGTGTGCAGGAAAACTGTGAGAGGCATGTGAGCTTGGTATGGTGGCAAGCTTTTCCCAGGCTAGCTGCTCCTGTTATAGCCTTTACTCTGTGTTATAGTAAAAGGAAATAAATTACTCTAGGAATATATTAAATTACTGTATTAAATGCATAATTTCAAAGGGCTATGCTTCAATATACAAATTCTGTCCCTTACTAGCCTTTTTTGAAAACGTTTTATCATTAGAAACCAAAAGGCTGTTCTGGTATTCTCAAACAAGAGACTGAGAAATTAAAATAAGTGGAAACAAATCACATGCTTTTTTCAGTTGGAACAGCTTATAATAACAGCTTTTTTTTGACCACTCCTCTCTTTCTAGTTCTTAGAGCAATACTTGTGGTTCTTCAAATATGGAAGTTACTTTCCAGTCTCAATGTGAACGCTTACTATTACATATGGGTTTTTAATTTACTTAAAGCTTATAATCCCTCCTTTAAATCATAATGCTGTAGAAACATGTAATCCCTTTAGATTTATGCATACTTTTGAATCTCCCAGACCTATCTGATGGTTTTATGTGAAGTTTCATGCCACTTAGAGGTGAAAGCAAAAAGCAAGCTTGATTTAGATATCAGAACTAAATCTTAGCTGAATGTTTTTTGTGAATGGTGAATCATTGCTAGATAGAGAACCAAAGATGAACTCTGAAGGTCACTAACTTGTTTTGACTTTTTACTTCTGTAGGAACATCTGCTTTGGGAGACTAACATGTTCCAAGTACCTTATTGGTGCCACTGATTATGGCTTTCTGTGTTGCTGGAACCTGCTCACTTGTGCATGTAAGATCAGCTTGAATGTGTGCTAGAGTAACTTAATACTTCAAATTATTATGAAACCTTAAAATAATTCTAGTTTGATTCCATACTGACACATGCCTTGTGGAAATACGGTGATTTTCCTATTTCAGTTAGGATAGTATCCTGTCCAGTGTGCATATGCTTCGTGTGCATGTGTAGAGCAAATTCTAAGTTAGATGTTGATAACCCAGTAACAGGTAGTACTTCTTACTTTTGTGTAGAAGCTGGTGGTATTTGCGTATTTTCGTTCACCAGGGAATAAGTGAAGCTGCATGCCTCTTC